TTTATTGCAGAATATTATATCCCATTGCCTGGTGTGTGCGATAGACTTACCTCCACGTGGTGCACCCTGGGCAACATATACTCATACGGCAAAAAAAGTCTATGAACCGGGAGTTGACTTATGACTTTAAACTACCATCACCCCACTGTGTGCCATTCGAATACTTCCACTTTACTCACCTCACCTTTGTTCTACCTTTGTGTCTGTCTCTTATACATCTTTGAAACACTCTTCTGTTCCTCCCTCTCGACTTTTTTTCAATTTGATGTTCTTTCCCCTCTGTGGAGCCTGAAAGTCAACTAAAGGCCTAATGATAACTATCAAAACGCCTGCCATTTGGTATAAATAAATAAATAAATATCTAATTGTCTAATTCCAATCTTTGGCCCAAGAGCACCATATGGTCTCTTGATCGCGTGTGGTCTAACTATTTGACAGGAGATAAAACTAGTTCGAAAAATCTACTTATTTACATTTAAAAATTAGATTACAATTGAAAAGATAAATGTTAGCATAGATGCTAATTTACTGCTTACTAAAATATTTAATTAATGCCTATTTTTATTGAATGAATGTAACTGTCTTAGTAATTAAAACTTCAATAGCATAAAGCTCGATTTCTCTTACAGATTTAATTATTTTTCGCCTCCCAATATGCTCATTACCTCCTGACAATTCTCATAATTTTTAGATGACTCATAGAGATAGCGACTGTCATTACCAATCAGATTGGCCTGTGTTCCATGGCCATAATTCCATTGTGGTGCGATTTATCAAGGCAAAAAAATGTGCCGGTAATTGGAGACTTTAAGAGATTTCAAAGAACTTCAACTGCCAAGGAAGCTATACTCAAGTCGAAGAGCTGTACTCCTCTACTGTGATAGACTTATCTCCACGTAATGCACCCTGGGCAACATACGGCAAAATATACTATAAACTGGCAGTTGGCTTCTTACTTTAAACCGCCATGACCACACTGTATGCCATATTCCACAACTCCAAAGTACTCACCTTACCTTCCCTTTTTCTCTACCTTTCTGTCTGTCACTCTCTTTTACATTTGCGAATCGATATTCTGTTCCCACTCTCGAATTTTTGTGACTTTGTCTGTTCTTCCCCTCTGTCAGCTAAAGGACTAGTGATAAATATCATAAAGCCTGCCACTTGATATAAATAAATAAGTGTCAATTACATAACCGGTCTAGTCACAGGTCAAGTATTTGAAACAGGCTGATTTTGAACTTCCCTGGTAAGGGTCTCGAAAACTGCTTTCAAGTGTCATGGCAACTAAAGCCGTCATTGGTTTAGTGACTAGAATAATAAAGGTAATTGCATCAGGTATTTCATCTTTTCATAGTGAAAAAAATATTTGATATGACAAATTGTAATTTAATTGACCCATCAATTTATTTAATTTCGATGTAAATTTTGCACTGGCATTTCATACCTAATTCGCCTTTCACGATTAGCATTGATTGCATCTTAATTTTGGGATTCAATTAACAGGCACCTTCAGTCAACCCTACCTATGTTCTAGGAAGCTCTAAAATTGTCGTTAATACGGCAATTTCTCCTTTTTATTTGCATCCATGCTCCTGATAGTTAGAACCCTTTTCCACACTCGAGAGAACTGAAACTCAAAAACGTTACATTCCTAACCAAATGTACAACCAATCAATTTCAAACTTAGCCTTTGTACTTTCCATAAAACAGCATTGGTTGCCAAATGAATCTCAAAAACTGGGCAACATGAGGACTGCTCTCTAAACGCTTCTTAAAGTCACTTTTCTAAGCACGATTTATTTAAACAATTTTCATGCGAAAATATTTTTAATTTGTTTGCTTACCTAAACTCAGCACAGTGATTGGATTTTATAAACCACGTGATGAATTATCGGCTGAAGGACACTGATAAACGATTTTTTATTCTCTTCCTTTTGATGACTCATCAATTAAATGTCAGTTTAGAATCACGCTGTGCAGATGCTGGTTCTACCACTTCCTATTTCTACTGGCCTACGTTTCTTCCTCTCTATTCTATTTAAACTATAGCTTCCTTTGAATAATAAAATTTTACCTCTCCTGGAATTTCGAGTTGAAGGGCTTGTTGTGTCAATTATTTTCCATTGGCTCCAGTTTAGTCATCAAAAATTAATGTTATATTGGGGTGAGCGATAGTCTTATCTCCATGTGGTTCACTCTGGGCAACGTTTTCTCATACGGCAAAAGTCTACAAACGGGCAGTTGACTTCAAACTACCTATCATAAACACGACAATAATCGATCACTTCACAGTACTCACCTTACCTTCTTTTCTACTTTCGTGTCTGACCCGTTTGCATCTATGAATCACTCTTCTGTCCCCCCCCCCTCGACTTTTTATGACATTGATGTTTCTCCCCTCTGTGAAGCCCGAAGTCAACTAATGAGCAAATGATAACCATCATTATTTATTTATTTATATCAAATGGCAGGCGTTTTGATGGTTATCATTAGCCCCTTAGTTGACTTCAGGTTTCACAGAGGGGAAGGAACATCAAAGTGAAAAAGATTCGAGATGGGGGGGGGGACTGAAGAGCATTTCAACGACGAAGGTAGAAAAGGTAGAAAAAAGGTGAGGTGAGTACTGTGGAAGTAGTCGAATATAACATACAGTGGGGTGACGGCAGTTTGAAGTCAGAAATCAACTGCCAGTTTATACACTTTTTTGGCGTATGAGTATACGTTGCCCAGGGTGCACCACGTGGAGGTAAGTCTATCGCACACCCCATGATAACTATCATAAAGCCTGCCTTTTGATATAAATAAACTTGTACTAATGCTATAAATTCAACCCGCAACGAAACTAGCCTTATTTGTATCACTGCTGAGTATTAAAATTAAAGAATTAATAAAAAATAATATTGCCTTTATAAGGTAAATAGATTTACAACCACTTTTTCTGAATAATTAACTCTCCATGTTCTGACCAGCGCTGTTTGCTCACCACCATTTGCTCAAAAGTTGGCATCGATGCAAAAATGGCTGCGCCTCTCCATACAGCGAGCTCACCTTCGGGGTGACAACTAATTCGACTATTCGGTAATACCTTCTGAAGGCGTTCTCGAAGTCCTTTGAACTTCATATTTCCTCCAGATAAAACCACATTCTTTAGAATTTCGATTGATTTCTTCTCAGTTAAATTCCCTACTGACTGGGTAATAGCGGATTCTAGAGAAGGCTTCTCATTAAAGCCTTTCAGTTGTGGGTTGAAGATGACTTCTGGAGCCAATTGTCTTTCAATTCCGAGAAGTAATTCTTGTCCGTCGAGCATTTGACAAGGTTTCCGTTTATTTGATTTCTCATTTAGAGCTGCTTCTGTGAGAGGAGATGGAGAAATTCCACAAAAGCGTGATTTGATATAATTAATATCTCCAGCTGTGCTATCTCTGAGTTGGTGCCCAGCCAAGCTTTTCAAGTACTCATCAACATCGCGTCCTCCAATGGAATAGATGAGCTCTGTTGAACGTTCAGGATAAAGGTCGTCCACTCCATAGAGGCTGGTATAACTATGTCCAGAGTCAACGACTAGACAAGTTGGCTTTCCCGAGGAAAATGCACCAACAAGAGGCTGAGAAGCAAAAAAGATGGATTGCACACCAATTCGTTCGAAGAGAATTTCAGCTAGCTGATTTCGGTACTTCGGCGTGAGACCTAGAGGTAAAGCCACGCAAAGACTGACACTGTGAGGATCGCAGTGGAGAATTCGTAAACCATGGTTGAAATATCTTTCATAGTAAGCCAGGGTGAATTCATTACACTGAAAGTCGATTATTCGTCCTTGTTCCTCCACTGAAGTCTAAAATAGAAAATGAAAATATATATATACATGCATACATTTCCTTCCTGAAAATTTGAAAATTTTCTGACGCAACTGACGAACGTTAGAAAGTGTTAATTAACCATTTTAAAACTGTTATGGTGGGGTAATTGATATTAGCAACAAAACGGAACATTTCGTTAACCTTCCCCTACCTTTCGACTTTAGCCACAGATCTTCTCCATAATAATCGCGTAATTTTACCAATTGGCCAGATGAACACCTTCCAAGAGCCACTCTCTGTGCACGTATCCTCTCCGCGTTTTCAGCTACCATACCAAAGTGATGTAAATAAAGATGAATGAAGATAATTTAATGCCCTTTTGACTTCGTTATCAGTAACACGAGTATCCGCCTTCACATCCTTTCAATCTTACTGCCTTATTAGCAGCCAATTAGACGTTTCTATCTGGTCCATCAACAAATTGAAATCTAGCTTCACTGACTTAATTGAAGCCTAAAATGTGCACTCCTCGCCTAAGCCTTAATGATTTTTCGAAAAATGTTAAGCAAGCACAGACATCTCACAAATGCCGGAATTCGAATAAAATTCAAATCAAATATTCATTCTAAATCGCTCAGATATGTGGGCTACGTCATCGTCTAACACGTGAGCACATGCGCACACAACCAATAGCCAATCAGAAGCGAGTCCTCCATGTTGATTATGACCAACCTTGCTGCGTGCACACTTTTACCACAATATACTTCCTAAATAAACGCGTTCCGTGCGATACGTCTGTTTCCTCTATAGCTGGGCTGTAGCTTAGCTGGATCTGAGAGTCTAGATAGATATAGAAGAATCTGCCACAGAGATTTCTGAGTCAGCCAAGGCTTTACTAGTGCAGCAATACGCTACATATTCTTCCATTCATTGTGTTTTTATACGCTAATTACTGTTAATCTTGAAGGCAAAACGGAAATTCAAATACTTTCTCCCAATATTCACAAAAGCCTCTCAAAATGATTAGGTTATTTATTAATTCTTTCAGTCTTTTGTACCTTATATTAAATACAGGATATCTGGGATGCAGCAGGCATTTCCCTATTACTAGGTTATGAAGAAAGGTTATTGTGCA